TCTCATATCAAACAAAATCAGCTTCCAGTTAAAACTTTTCTCGTTTTCGAAGGTCCACAAAGTTTAAGACCACTTGGAAGGCCACGTCCAAGGACATGTGCTAAAGTCTGGTCTCTCAGTGAGGTAAACCAGACACCCTACTGAGGAAACACCAGTCGTTACATGTTCCCAAAATCATCTGTTTCAATCACTATTTCCTAACGTAATCCTCAGGCAATATTGGTCCTGGTGGGAGGGATGGGGAGGGATGGGGAGGGATGGGGAGGGATGGGGGGGATGGGAGAGGTTTATGGGGGAGCAAGGGGGGGGGGGGTAGACTGTGGGAGGGGAGGGCGGTTTGGGGGAAGGGTAGAGTGGGAGGAATGAAGGTTTGGTGGGGAGACGGGTAGGATGGAAAAGGAGAGGATGGAGGAAGGGATGGGAACGGTGAGGAAATGAAGGGGGGGGGGTGATGAGGAAGGGGAATTAAAGGTATGATAAGAGAGGGAGAAGAAGGAAAAGGGTTGGAGGAAGGAGGGTGAAGAGAGCGAGGAAGGTGAAGGGATAGGAAAGAGAGAAACTGTAGGGAAGTGAGAGACAGGGAAAGGAGGGTGGAAAGGTGGCAGGGAAAAGAAAGGGAGAAAGAAGGAGGAAGAGGCAGAGAGGGAAGAACACCGGTGCTCACACGTCGCTACGTCCAGTACCAGCAGGACTGAAAATAATCATTTCAGTGTTGGGATCAGGTATGACTCCTCATGACGGCGTCACCAATCAGGTATGACCCCCATTGACGCCATTGCCAATCAGGATGGGTTGAAGGGGGGGGGGGCCCTGACGACGCCACTAAGATGACAGAAATCATGTTTGTATTAATAATAAAAGCGTCATATCACTCGTAGTATGTACAGCGTACGACGCCCCCGCACCGCTACTTGTACTCTCCATGAAACACGATCTACAATCTACGTCATGTGCGTTGTTGTGGTTCCTGGTGTGGTGAGATACTCTACGATTCAGCGTTCTACGACTACTTGTAGCCTCTCATCTGTGACTGTTTTCTTAAGAGTGCTAAATACATATTATACACGTAAAAAAAGTAAGTCAAATGTACAAAAAGGGAAACTAAAGGGTTCTAAAAGGAAACTTTTCTAAGACCGGTTCTCTGCTTCTTCAGCTACACAAGTTCCTTAAGAGTTATTGTGGTTGGCAAAAGTTCCTCGACAACATTCTTCAGGATAAGGAAAAAACAGCATTTTCCTCCTGCAGGAGTTGGATAAGTTTCTGAAGGAGGGAATGTGCTGTTCTAAATTCACCCAAAACTGTAAAAACAGAATACCCGCTTGCTCCGTTTTTCTGGATATAATTAAGAGTGTTTTTTTTTTTTTTAAGCAGCTCGCTTCTGTTATTGTCTCTCTTAGACGTTATTCACAACGCAAGATTCCCGTGTTGTTTTTTTCTTTTTTTCTTTGCGCTCTTTTGGTTCAAGGATGGAATCATGCTATACTTTTTATCTGAATGAGTAGGCAAGGAAGAGTTTGCCAAGCAGAGTGAGTGATTCCTAAACTCTCTCAAGCACATGAACGACTGTTGAAGAGTCGTACTCTTTGGAATAGAGAGATTACCATTTTCCTCTTATTTTTCAACCCAAGAGCATCGCCCACTTTTTTTTTTGTTACTTTTATATACAAGAATAATGTCTATTTTCTGTTTGATGTCAGAGATCGTAGCGCTAACTTTTCATATATATTTTTTTGGCGGGTGTACAAATGCGCCGCCCATTTTCCTTATTTCTTTTTTTGCGGCCACAAATGTAGCGTAAACACCTATTTTTCCTGGTCCAAGTATGGTCCAAGTATGTCTCCCACACTTTACCACACTTCCAGCCCCTGAGGGTGTGGGTGGGGGCGGGCTATGCAAAACACCAAGAGAGAGAGACAGACGCAGGCCAAGCCAGTCAGAGGACATGAAGATTCTCGCAGGACTTGCTCTTGGTCTCCTTACCGCAGACCTTCGTCAGGAAGCTCTTCACCTTGAGACTCGCTGAGGTCTTGGAGCCCCGGTACTTCCTCCGGCGGGTGCTGCGCTTCTTGGCCGTCACTTCCTGGTTGTGGCTCTTCAGTCGGATTTGCTTAAGGATCCCCACCAGCAGTTCGTCCACCTGGTGGTTGAACCCGCTCGAGGTCTCGATGTATTTGCAATCGTAAGAGTCTGCCAGGTTCGACCCCTCTGTTGGGAAGAGAGAAAAGGGGGGGTTATTAAATGAAATGTACTTCACCGTTGTGCTTGTCTCATGGTGTGTGTGTCTGTCACGATGTGAGTTTTTACTATTTGTTTATACCCCTCGTAGCCTGGTGGATAGCGCGCAGGACTCGTAATTCTGTGGCGCGGGTTCGATTCCCGCACGAGGCAGAAACAAATGGGCAAAGTTTCTTTCACCCTGAATGCCCCTGTTACCTAGCAGTAAATAGGTACCTGGGAGTTAGTCAGCTGTCACGGGCTGCTTCCTGGGGGTGGAGGCCTGGTCGAGGACCGGGCCGCGGGGACACTAAAGCCCCGAAATCATCTCAAGATAACTCAAGATAACCCCATCTGAAAATCTATATAGATTTTCTTTTTAATCATTCCAAGAAGCGGAGAACTCCCCCTGGGGAAATGGCTATATATCAGCCCGTCCTCCTAAGGGTTCTCCAACGTCAAGAAAACGGACAATTTAAAGTGTCCTCTCGTGACCTGCCAGAGGACCCAAAACAGAAAACGGGACAGTACGTCACTTTCGCGAGCCGCTTCTAGTACGACGATTTCTGGCCATATTTAACGCATACGATCGATTTGCGACGTTCTTTGTAGGAGGACAGGTTGTATATATACACTGGGAGGTGTAAGCCGCTTCTCGGCGTATTCACTGATTAGACTTATACTAGAACTTTACTTTACTAGGATCAGGATCAAAGTGTACTGTCTGGTTAGTGATTAAGCTGCTGTGGAGTCTTAATTACCTTTGATAAGTGGTCTATTATTAAGGCCAATACTTAATGTGGTGGCCTTATGTAATATATATATATATATATATATATATATATATATATATATATATATATATATATATATATATATATATCCCATATTTATCTTTTGAATATTAAAACTTGCTTTGTATTTGAGAAGAATGAGTGGTGAGTTCCACAATCTGAAACTGACACTCCAATATTTGTTATCAAATAAAAAAGAAAAGAAAAGATTGTTGAGCAGGCAGAGTTGCCAGAGCGTCGGTGTGTGAGCAAAGCTGACAACGTTGTTCCTATAGTTGGGGCAGCGACTACCCCTAGTAAAGCCAGGTTATGGCTTTACCCCATTACACATCACCTCATAACATCACCCCTACACACACACACACACTCAGTGTAAACACGACGTCAATAATTTAGTCCAGTCGTGAGGTGGTTGAGTTGCTCCTAATACTTCCATGTATTGAAAGACTCATGCACCCCATCTTGTGTGTGTGTGTGTGTGTGTGTGTGTGTGTGTGTGTGTGTGTGTGTGTGTGTGTGTGTGTGTGTGTGTGTGTGTGTGTGTGTGTGTACAACGGTTTAAGGAAACCAGAGTTAATCACAGCTATTCATATTTTCCCCATTAATTTTCTCTCGATTTCACATATAGAAATGCAGCTTTTATGACCATTTAGTCTCTGGAATATGGCAGTTGAAACTGCTCTGGCTACAGAAACTTTCATGCACCGCTGCGGAAAACTTACCGAATTGAATTCGTAAAACTTTTTTTTTTTGCACAGATTCAGAATTGGATCGCGAGTTTGGCCTTTTAACGGGCAATTAGACTCCATTGACTAAATTTGCAATGGTATTTGAAAATGAAAGATTTGGCTAAATTGGTTTTCATCTCAGAATCATTTGTAACAAGTCACCGCACAACGCTATGTAAATAACGTTTCGAAACGTTAGAACTCCCCTCCCCCCTTGCTTAAAACGTTGAAGCAGGTTTGCAACATCAGAAAAAATAACGTTTTAAAATGTTGTGTTTGTTGGGTTATACAGACCACCAAAATAAATGGTATGAGTATTTTCCTGAAAATCTGTGTTTTTTTCATATAAATTGGCAAAGAATGCTGTTAAGAGATTAGAAAAAAGGATTGGAAAACGTTGAGGGGTCGTTCAGCAATGTTGGGAGTGGACGCTGATGTCGAGTATACTCAGCATACTTGCAATATCTTGATTGATTTATGACTAGTATATTTGAACGAAGGAAAATTGAGTCTTTTATTGTGTTAGGTTAGTGACTACACACCCAGTACCACTCAACACAACTGCAAGAACTTGGCATAAAAACATATATCACTCACCTGTAATATTAATATAGACACACACCTGTGTTAATAACATTATAAACACACTCACACACACACACACACCTCGTAGCCTGGTGGAGGGGCCTCGTAGCCTGGTGGATAGCGCGCAGGACTCGTAATTCTGTGGCGCGGGTTCGATTCCCGCACGAGGCAGAAACAAATGGGCAAAGTTTCTTTCACCCTAAGTGCCCCTGTTACCTAGCAGTAAATAGGTACCTGGGAGTTAGTCAGCTGTCACGGGCTGCTTCCTGGGGTGTGTGTGTGTGGTGTGGGAAAAAAAAAAAAAAAAAAAGTAGTTAGTAAACAGTTGATTGACAGTTGAGAGGCGGGCCGAAAGAGCAAAGCTCAACCCCCGCAAAAACACAACTAGTAAACACAACTAGTAAACACACACACACACACCTGTAATACCAACACAACCCCAGCCATAATGACACACACCTGTAATATCAACACAACACAGTTACATAAACTACAAGAACAGTGTGACAGTCCCCATAAATCATACTTTTCAGAAAAAACTGCTCACACAGCCAGGTGTGAGCGGATTACACATTTGTACATTTTAACACATTAGTACAAGTACTCTAATTGTACACAGGAACGTAAGAATAAAGGCAATTGCAGAAGGCCTATTGCCAATGCAAGGCAGCTCTTATTTATATCCACTCCAGCTAGTTCATATGTCTAACCTACGCTTGAAACAGTCCTCTGATCTCCCCACATCTTTTATGCTATCCGGTTATTTGTGCCACATGTCTACAACCCTGTTCCCAAACCTGATTTTGTAAAATATAATCTTATCCAATTTGTATTCATTGTTTCGTGTTTTATTTGGCTTATATAATGTATATTTAATACCTGCTTAATACCCCTTTTGTTATACTTTTCCTCCTGTATGTATACTTCAGTCGTGTATACTTCCATCTATACCTTCTGTTCGCTTTTATACAGTATGTAAACTAAACTTTCTAAATCAGTCTTCATTAGGAAGGTTTCTAATTCCTGGGATTAACTCTATCATCGTTTGCTAAATGCGTTCGAGTTAACATGCCTTCAATAAGGAATAATATTGAGTGTAACGAGGTTTCGTTGTACAGCGGGAGTATAAAAAGCTCAAAGCAGTGGCCATTAACGCATCCCAGATCACTCTGAACTTTACCGTATCAAAGATATACGCCAATCATAATATAGAATCAAAAAGATATCCTTTGGTTGCTTGCCTAATACAGGTCATACACCTCCATACATTTCATCCAACAAACAACATTTTCTCCCCCCAAAGAGAGTGCAGGTACACATTATAAAGCAAACCAGGGGGGCCAGGTTCACGAAACAGTTACGCAAGCACTTACGAGCCTGTACATCTTTCCTCAATCTTTGGAGGCTTTGTTTACAATTAATTAAACAGTTAATGAGCTCCGAAGCACCAGGAGGCTATTTATAACAATAACAACAGTTAATTGGGACGTTTTCATGCTTGTAAACCGTTTAATAAATGTAACCAAAGCCGTCAAAGATTGAGGAAAGATGTTCACGTTCGTAAGTACTTGCGTATCTGCTTCGTGAATCTAGCCTCCTTGGAGCCTACACGGTATATATACATATTTAGATCCTATGTACAGACGAGGTGTCACAATAACGTGGCAGAAATATGTTGACCAGACCACACATTAGAAAGTGAAGGGACGACGACGTTTCGGTCCGTCCTGGACCATTCTCAATCGACTTAAAAATGGTCCACGACGGGCCGAAACGTCGTCGTCCCTTCACTTTCTAGTGTGCGGTTTGGTCAACATAGACCCTATGTATATCCAGGTCCACATATAGCAACATTTGGACTCAACACGAATACAATTCCCTTCCCCCCCACCCCAACAATACATCACCTTTGGCGGTGACGGAGCGGGACCTGACGATGTCCGTCTTGTTGGCGACGAGGATGACTCCTCTGTTGGTCATGACGTCTAGGCGCCACAGGTACTGGAGCACCTCCTCCGCCCGCTGGTAGCTCCCTCGCTCGATGACGCTGAACACCACCACGAAGGCATGAGGGTCGTACGTCGCCAGGTAGTTCTCCACCTGCGCCACGGGCAGAGAGGCCAGTTAAGGTGCGCACATGCACATTGTTTGGAGGGGGAGAGGGGTAGTGCAAAGGTGCAAGGGGGGGGTGTATTGGAGGGTTGTATAAGGGGTTAGTTCTCGTCCTCTGCAACGGAGACAAAAAGAGCATTAAAGGTGTATGGGAAGGGGTTTCTTTTTCTAAGGGGTGATTTGGAGGGGTAATATAAGCTAGCAGGTTCAAGTTCAAGTATGTTTATTGAGATAAGAAAGAAATATATCTCAAAAGGATAGAGTAGCTTAGGCTATTTCTACCCCCCAGAGTAGGGGCTTAAATATGGAAACTTAGAACAACGTAAGGGGGGGGGGGCGGTCAGGTTAATGTATTAAAAAATGAATAGAGTGAAAAAAATATTTCTTGTTTTAGGGAACACAGGCACTAAATTAAGGTGTGTTGTTAGATATTTATACATCACAGTGACGCTCGTCGAAAATAGGTGTTGTTTAAGGGAGGGGGGGATTTAGAGCACTATGAAGCTAGAGGGATTTTGGGTAGGCAAGAGGGAGGATTAATACAAGGGAAGTGTACAGTGGCTGAAACAATCCACCTAGACTGTGACCATCCACTATCATCCATGTGTGGATGATAGTGTCGACCCTTCACTCTTCCTTTGCCGCCACTTGATAAGGGGGGTCCTGGAGCACGATTCATCATCCACTTACGAAACCTGTTCATCTTTCAACAATTATGTTGGCTTCGATAACCAATAATTATATAAACAGTTTATGAGTGCCGACGTAACTGTTTATAAAGACCGTTTATAACAATAAAGACCTTAGATTGTGAAAGTCTCGAAGCTCTTAAACTCTCTAATAAATGTAAACAAAGCCGCCATGATTGGTGAAAGATGTACAGGTTTCGTAAATGGATGTGTAAATGCATCTTTCAATTTCTGCTAGTAGTAGGGAGGCCACACATTTCCGTGGCCCAGTCATCTTGAGGTTATCTTGAGGTTATCTTGAGATGATTTCGGGGCTTTTAGTGTCCCCGCGGCCCGGTCCTCGACCAGGCCTCCACCCCCAGGAAGCAGCCCGTGACAGCTGAATAACACCCAGGTACCTATTTTACTGCTAGGTAACAGGGGCATAGGGTGAAAGAAACTCTGCTCATTGTTTCTCGCCGGCGCCTGGGATCGAACCCAGGACCACAAGATCACAAGTCCAGCGTGCTGTCCGCTCGGCCGACCGGCTCCTCGTCATAACTAAGAACCTCTACTATAAGGTGGTGAAGCTTTTGTATATTTAGGTGAGACAGCTCGGGGCCTCGTAGCCTGGTGGATAGCGCGCAGGACTCGTAATTCTGTGGCGCGGGTTCGATTCCCGCACGAGGCGGAAACAAATGGGCAAAGTTTCTTTCACCCTGAATGCCCCTGTTACCTAGCAGTAAATAGGTACCTGGGAGTTAGTCAGCTGTCACGGGCTGCTTCCTGGGGGTGGAGGCCTGGTCGAGGACCGGGCCGCGGGGACACTAAAGCCCCGAAATTATCTCAAGATAACCTCAAGAAGCTCTTTTTTTTGTTTTTTAGAGAGTTAGGAAGAAGGTGGTGGTTCACCGCCTAGTCCAAAGCAGTTAATGGGATAGGGGCGGGCTGGCTTTTTTTTTCTAATGCGTAAATGAGAAGGGTGAGTCTAGCGAGAGGAGCGTTGTGAGGGGAAACTCTATGGGGGAAACTCTACGAAGGGAACTATGAAAAGAGCTCTACAGGGGAAATTCGGCTAGTGGGGAACTCTACAAAGAACTCTACGAGGCGAACTATACGAGGGATCTCTACGAGGGGAACTCTGTGAGGCTCACAGAGTTCCCATCACCACTCACCATCACCACGCCAACATCACCACTCACCACCACACAGACTCATCATCCCTCAACACGTCAACACATACACTCACCACCTCTTCCCATCCATCTATTCCCCCTCACTGCTCCTCTCCCCTTCGCTCCCATCACCACCCCTCCCCTTCATCACCCTCCTCCCCTCACTATACTCAAAACTCCCGTACTAGAAAACAAAAGCGGCTCGAGAAATTGACATTCGGGCCCGTTTTCTGTTTTGGGTCTTCTGGTAGGTTAGGATAAGGGCACGTTAGTAGGACAGTGACCAATCCACTCACCGTCATCTCATCAGCAGGGTGGTCAATAAACATGATCTCACTCTCCTCTCCGTCCAGCATAACTGACACCGAGTGCTCACCAAATTCTTCGTCTGAAAAATAAAAAAGACAGAAATCTTTATTCATGAAGTATTTCATCACCCAGCGAGGGCCGGCAGACGCATCCGCGAGCGCTCTGAAGGACGCTTGCAGGTGCAATACTCAAGAGCATCCTACCAAACGGACTCGAGGAAGGGTGGAACACTCAAGCGCATCCTACCAAACGGACTCGAGAAAGGATGGAACACTCAAGAGCATCCCACCAAATGGACTTGAGGAAGGATGGAATACACAAGAACATCCCACCAAACGGACTCGAGAAAGGATGGAACACTCAAGAGCATCCTACCAAATGGACTCGAGGAAGGATGAAATACACAAGAGCATCCTGCCAAATGGACTCGAGGAAAGATGGAACACTCAAGAGCATCCTACCAAACGGACTCGAGAAAGGATGGAATACTCAAGAGCCTCCTACCAAACGGACTCGAGGAAGGATGGAACACTCAAGCGCATCCTACCAAACGGACTCGAGGAAGGATGGAACACTCAAGAGCATCCCACCAAACGGACTCGAGGAAGGATGGAACACTCAAGAGCATCCCACCAAACGGACTCCAGAGAGTAGAATACGCGAGAGTAAACTCGGACTCTAGTAGACGGAATAATCAAGAGCCTCATCCTAAAACAAATCTAGGATGCGGAAGCTCAGGAAAAACACTAATCAATAATTCTAGAATGAGGCCTCAAGAACTCTATGATCGGACCAAATTTGTATCTAGAAGGACAGTAATAGCTGACGCACTCAAGAAGAATCCCTCGATGCCTTCAACAGGCGAAGGACTCTGAGGGGGACTCACAAGGACATCCTCTAAAAAGGTACAAATCTGAGTTATTTACACACACATTTCATAGATCATATTGGAACACGGGGGTTCAAGAAAATGTATACGGGATTTTTTTTACTGGGTAAAGCTCAAGGATACTAGAGGGAGATTTTTACGCGATTTTAGGCTCGGGGTCTCGGGATTATGTTCAAAGGGCGGACATGAACGCATGACTGAGGAGGAGGAGTTGGAGAGGCTGAGAGTGTGTCTTGGAGGAGATGAGGATGTTGGAGTGCTTGGTAATGTGTGTGTGTGTGTGTGTGTGTGTGTGTGTGTGTGTGTGTGTGTGTGTGTGTGTGTGTGTGTGTGCTCAACTAGATGGGTTTGCGTGGGAGGATAAGGGGGTTAGAGAGCGCGTGCGTTTGCGTGCGAAGGTGGCGTTGGAGACCTTGTGTGCGTGTGAATGTTTGGGTGTTTGGTGGGCGGAGAAGCAAAGGATGAGGATGTGGTGCGGTGTTTGCGTGTGGTGGTGGTGGGTGCAGAGGGAAGAAAATTTAGTGTGTGTGTGTGTGTGTGTGTGTATTCAGTAAGTTGTGCTTGTGGGGGTTGAGCTTCGGCTCTTTGGTCCCGCTTTTGTGTGTGTGTAGAAGAGAAGACGTGGAGGAGATGTAGGCACAGAGCGTCGATACATGACCCGTCCTCCTAATAGAACGTATTAGCATTTTGACGTAAACATGACCCAAGGCCAGAAATTATCGTACTAGAAAACGGTAGCGACTCGCGAAAAATTGACATACTGTCTCGTTTTCTCTGGGTCGTCTAGTAGTTTAGAATAAGGGTCGCTTTAGTACGACAATTTCTTGACGTTGAGAAACCTTAGGAGGAGGAGAAGAGGCTGAGGTGGCTATCAACTAGCGACCTCTGGCGGGTGTAAAGGAACAAGCTCACTGAGTAAACACCTCCACATTGTTCCTTCACATACGGTATGGAACACCTGATCAAACAGCCTCTTAGTTCACTCGAGAACACATATAAATATTCTCTAATATAATTCTCTCTGAATCACAACTGCTCTCTGCACCTGTCCTGACGTTTCCATAAATGGAAAAACTGTAAATTACATATAAATATTAATAGTTGCTGGAAATGTTCTTAGGAGAGTATAGCATATTGCATTTTCAAATATTGGGCAGTATTGCATATAATAATAATAATATTGTGCAACATTGCGTTTTCATAAATCGAGTAATATTGTTATGTCGTCAGTATGTCTGAGTGGGAGTATGTGGGATATTATTATTGAAGAGAGAGAGAGAGAGAGAGAGAGAGAGAGAGAGAGAGAGAGAGAGAGAGAGAGAGAGAGAGAGAGAGAGAGAGAGAGAGAGAGAGAGAGAAAGAATTATTAGGGGAAAGTGCCAAGCCATTACGACTATATAGCACTGGGAAGATAACCTCAAGATGCCTCTTCCTTACCTCTCCCATGCCTCTCCCTTCCCTCTCCCATGCCTCTCCCTTCCCTCTCCCATGCCTCTCCCTTCCCTCTCCCTTCCCTCTCCCTTCCCTCTCCTTCTTCTCTCGCGCACGAGTTCTCGTTGTAAAAACTCTTACAAACATCTTCTTCCTCCAGATGGCAGTGAATAAATTGCTAATCATCACGAGAAGCAAGATAGCGTGGCGTGGCGGACGATAGCGTGGCGTGGCGGACAATAGCGTGGCGTGTCGGACGATAGCGTGGCGAGGGGGACGATAGCGTGGCGAGGGGGACGATAGCGTGGCGTGGGGGACGATAGCGTGGCGAGTCGGACGATATATGTGTTGATGTGTTTACGAGAGAGAGAGAGAGAGAGAGAGAGAGAGAGAGAGAGAGAGAGAGAGAGAGAGAGAGAGAGAGAGAGAGAGAGAGAGAGAGAGAGACATAGACATAGACAGAGAAAGAGAGAGAAAGAGAGAGAAACAGAGAGAGAGACAGAGAGACAGAGAGTAGAAGGGAGAGGTGAGTTCAGAGAGGGTGAGAGGACAGAGCCTGAGGATAGATTTTAAGGTGAGAGGACGTTAGAAAAGAGGGGAGAGGGGAGGGGAGAGGGGGATGGAAAAGTGTCAGGAAGAGAGTGAGGGGAGAGGATATTACAACAAAGAAAAGATAATAGAATGAGAGGGAGAGGGGAAGATTGAGTTCTGAGGGAAAGGGAGTAGGAGATCAGAGATACAGAGTGTAAAGGAAGAGTTAAGTGTGATGGAGATATAACAGAGGGAAGAACAAAGGAAAAGGTCTATAGTGAAGAGGGAGATAGGAGAATGCAAGAATATAGCATGAGATTTGGGGAATAAAGTGTGAAAGAGATAAAATAAGAAGAGAAAGTGTTGAGAGAAAAGAAAGAGAATTAGAACCAGAAAGATTAATTCAGAATTTGTTTTTTACTAAAAAAAAAAACCATTTCATTGTAAAAGGCAGGATTAAACCCACACACGCCAGCAAAAAATAAATTCTGATGAAGCAGAGTTTGGAATTTATATACTGTACAAAATACTGAATAACTCGTTCCATACGACATTTTTCAACGCTAGTTTTAAATATATACAAAATATAGCTGAAAGTTATAAAATTGACAGACTCATACTCACACACACACACGCGATATATATATATATATATATATATATATATATATATATATATATATATATATATATATATATATATATATATATATATATATATATATATATATATATATATATATATCGCGATCCAGAGTGGAAATGTGCTGTTAAAAAAACTAACAGCACGTATAGGCTGTTAATTCCGTGTATATGCACGTACATACGGCCTTTACTTCAGACTTAAGGACATCACAGTATAATGAATCACAATGTTATACATCACAGTATAATAAATCACAATATCATACATCACAGTATAATGAAACGCAGTATGATGCATCACAGTATAATGAATCATAGTATTATACCCAACATGTGGGCAATATCCCAAACTCAGGAAGTTAGGAGAAGTTCCGTCAGATATACGGGCCACTTCAAGACCAAAGAACACAAAGAGTTGA